GAAGACCTGCCTGGGAGGGTGGAGGTGAGCCAGCGGGAGCAAGGCTCAGGGACCACTGTGGTGGGGCCGGAGGTGGAATATAGGAGTCACTGTCAGGGACCCTGGAGAGGGGCAGGGACCACTTTAGGGGGTCCAGAAGGGGCATAGGGACCAATGTGAGGGATCGGGAGGGAGGGTACAGGGGCCACAGTTGGGGGCTGGGTGAGGGAGTGCAGGGGATAACTGTGGGGGACTGGGCAGGGTCAGATAAGGGGACCGTGGTCACCCACAATGACCCCCCTCATTCTGGTTGGGAGGAAGGGGTTGCAGGGAAGGTTTGGAGGTCTGGGTGTGGCGTCCAGGTCTCATCCAGGCAGAGGGGACTGTGGGCAGGCAGGAGGCACCGCTGGGCTGCTCCTGGGCACCGCGGCCACCAGGTCTTCCTCACAGCTGTCCACGCCGCTGCCCCCCATCTTCCCTGTGGCCCCACCGCCCCCTGAAGAGCCCAACGGACCCCTGCCCAGCCACAAGCAGCAGCCCGAGGCCCCGGAGCCTGCAGGTGACTGCTGATGCCCCTCTGGCTAAGGGTGGGGTGGGGGTACTGATGCATCCAGCCTGTTTCACTGCTCCTGGAGCAGGTGGCCTGGGAGAGCCTCTGCAGAGGGGATGGCCGGATGTGCGGGCCCAAGGGATGCAAGGACCCAGAGGGGGTGCAGGCCCTGAGCCCACCATGTCGGGGACATGTGAGGCCTCGGGGAGAGGGTCAGGGCTAAAGCTCACCTGACCCAGAGTGGGGTGCCTGAGGAAGGGGACCACTGCTGCTCTCCCTGCTGCCTCCCCCGCCCCGCCCCCCTCACACAGAGAGAAGACACTCGGTCCTTCAGGCCCTGCTGCACTGTCTGTTCGGTGGGTCCCAGCAGAAGAAGCTTGCCCAGGTGAACCGTGGGTGGGTGGAGTGAAGGGCCCTGAGGAGGGAGACCCCATGGCGGTCCCCCTCCCCCGCCCAGGTGTGTGTGGTGGGTCGCAGGTGGGTGAAGCGAGGGCCCACAGGAGGGAGACCCCTCCATAGTGCCCCGCAGGCTGTGCGCCATCCCAGCCGTGGACAGCCGGGCCTGCCTTTCCCCACAGGACTCTGCAGACCTGGTGGATCACATGACCCCTGAAGAGGTATGTGGGGAGTGGGGTTGGCGGGGCATTCTATGGAAGGGCTCTGAGTCTCCTCTGTGGCGTGGCTTCAAAGAGGGGGGGGCGGAGGGGGGGCAAGGGCAGCAGAGAAGGTGGGCCCGCCCGGGGCTGAGCCCTCAGTGATAATCAGACTCCAGAGGCAGAATTTGGGGCCCGGCTGAGTGGCTGTGTGGGGAAATGACTGGGGCCTGAGAGTGGCTGTTGGGCAAGGCCAAGCTCCCCCAAGTCACGTGCCCCAGGTGGTGATGTGGAGGCACCAGCATGGGCGGCACCGGGAGGCTTGGAGGGCAGACACAGGACACCCCAAGACCACACTTCTCTCCCCGCTCCCCCTTGGGGATGACCAGGCCTGCTCTCTACATGAGGGTCACTGCGCTGCCAACTGCAAAGTCTGCAGTTCAAACCCGCCAGCTGCTCCTTGGGAGAAAGATGAGGCTGTCTGCTCTCACCAAGAGTAACGGTCTCAGAAACCACGGGGGGTGGGGGGGGGCCCGCAGTTCTCCTCTGTGCTATAGGGTCACTGTGAGCTGGAATTGACTTGAGGGTCATGAGTTTGAGGTCCGGCAGGCCTCCCCCCACACCCTATGGCACAGAGGAGAGAAGAGCCTCCAGGGCCAGCTCCCTGGCAGCTCCCTCGATTTGGAGTAGAGCTGCCAGCCCCACCCCAGCGGGAGGGCCAGCCTTTAGAGGGCTGCCGCCTGTTCCTGCAACCAAGGTAGGGCGTGTGTTACAGCACCACCTACTGCCCATGCACGGAAGGTGCCACTGTTAGAGCGGAAGCCCAGGGTCCAGGTGTGTCTGCTACAGGCTGGCCACACTGCCCGCCTGCAGGCAAAGGAAGCATGGACAGAGAGGAGGGACTCTACGCTCTTCTCCCCATGGTCCCCAGACACACACACACACACACACCACACACTCACACTCACATATACACACACACACACACATACACTCACACACAAATACTCGTACACTCATTCTCACACACACACACTCTTGATAATTGATTCATGAGCCCTGGTATTTGTGACCAGAGGAGAGAAAAAACTCCTCGTATGCACAAACAGGCAGCCACCTGGCCAGGAAAGACAGCATCTCTTTTTGGACGCCGAAACCTGCCGTGTTGTGGTCAGGTGCCATCGACCCCACAAATAGAAGAGAACACTGCCCAGTCCTGCCCACCCCCCAGAGTTGCTGGGGCCCATTGTGGCAGCCACCAGCTGGCCCTCCACTTCACTGAGCATGTGGCACTGGCCCTCCACTTCACTGAGCATGCTGTTTCCCCAACAAGAATGTCAGAACACCCCACAGGGGGAGTGCCAGCTCTGTGATCTTTGTGGGGGTGCTGAGCAGTCAGCATGGGGGTGCCGGGGCACCGTGACCCGGGGTGAGTCCCTGGACTCCCAGGAGGATGCCAAGCCCACAGTGACACCCTCCTCCAAAGCCAATTGCCGGTCCTGGACCAGGGCCAACCCCACCGGCTGTGGCGTCTTCCTCTGCTGTGCCCTGGGTAAGCCTGGACTAGTGGCAGGGTTAGAGAGACCAGGCCTGGCCCGGAGGAGGCACCTGGGGTTGTTGTCACTCCTTCAGGGAAGGCAGAATGGGCCTGGAATCAGACAGGAGGACCGGGCTAGGGGCTGGGTGTGCACAACCTCTCCACACCACCCTTGCTGGTGACTGCTCCTGCCATTCAAGGAGGGGACTTGGGAGACACTGCTTCTGCCAGAGAGCCTCTGGGGAGGACAGATGGCCACTATGTGCTTTCACACCCACAGCAGTACTAGAGGCCCCGGGGTTGCCCTTGGAGCCCGACAGGCAAGGGCTGGGACAGGTGGAAGGAGAAGCAGAGGGCAGTGCTGCTCAGAATCGAGGCGGTGGATGTAATGGAAAGGACCGCGGACTGCCGAAGGACAGACAGATCTGTCTCGGAGGAAGTGCAGCCGGGGTGCTTCTCAGAGGCAGGGATGGGGAGCCTTCCTCTCACGTCCTTTGGACGTGTTGTCAGGAGAGACTGGCTCCTGGGAAAGGACCCATGCTTGGGCAGTGAAAGAGGAAGACCGGACACAGTGGCTGCAACCCTGGGCTCGGACATAAGACCCCCGGGGAGGACGGCGCAGGGCCGGGCAGTGTGCGCCGTGTCACCAGGGGTCAGGTCGGGAGGAGCCAGTGGCATCAGAGAACATGGATTGAGTCTGGGAACTCCAGGCCTCAGGTGGATTCAGGCAGGCACCTGGGTCTCTGTGAGCGTCTCTGGGGCCCAGGGGTCAGCTTGCTTGGAGCCTACCAACCTCTCCTTCAGTGGTGCCAACAGCACAGAGGGGGGTCAGCTCCACGTGGCCCTGCCAAGCGCCCCACCCAGCAAGCATTCGTCTACTCTGCACTCGCTCCCCCGGGGAGTTTGCACCTCACCGGCTGCCCCCATGCGGACGCCACCCTGAGAGCAAAGACTGCTGGTGATGTGCAGGGGAACCCAGAGGGAACACCAGGGCCAGGATGAGTGACCAGCCACGTCCAGGGAAACCTGGGCACGAGTGTGAGGATGAGCAGAGCCAGCAAGGGAGCCCAGTGATGTGTGAGAATGGAGCTGCAAGCAGCCAGCAGAGACGGAGTCAGCGAGGGCACCCGGGCCAGGGCCGACACCCAGGAGGGAGCAGGGGTCGAAGCTGGCACCTGGGCTGAGGTGTCCCAGGAGAGGGCTGAATTGGGGTTCACGCCTGGAACCAGATGCCCCTTGAAGGGAGACCGGGTGCTCTGCCTGTTCCCCCAGCACCCCTTGTGCTCTGACAATGAGGCCCGGCAGGCCCCTGGACAGCAGCTGTGTGTGGTGGAAACCAGGCAGCCTGGTGGGCACGGGGCAGCAGGGTCCAGGGTCAGGGAAGGGGAGGTGCTGGGCCTGACCCCCTTCTAGTGGGAGGCTTGGGGTGCTGCGGTGACTGCCCTGTGCCCTCAGGCGGCGGCCTGGGAGCAGGAACAACTGGCCCAGCCTGTATGCTTCGACAACTGCTGCATTGACCAGTCCCCGTTCCAGCTGGTGGAGCAGACAACCCTGCACAAGGCCAGTCCACCACCATTAGTCAGTGTGGGACACCCGTGTCGGGTGTCTCAGGGGGCAGGGGGCTGACCACTGGCCATCATGTGGCCCACTGTGTGCTGACCGCTGACAGCCACCTAGGGTGTCTCACAGGGCAGGGAGGTGCACTGACTACGACACAGGGGCACCATGGGCTGTGCCCTGATCACTGACCTCTGCATGGGAGGCACTGGCGGGCTGTATGCTGACCACTGACCACAACTTGAAGTGCCTCGAGGAACTGTGCTGACCAATGACTGCCATGTAGGGAGCTATGCACTGAACACTGACCACCCCATGAGGGAGCTGTTGCTGACTGCCAACTTCAGGACAGTGTGGGGGGGCTGCACACTGACCACCTACCACCATACCCGGGTGGGGGTTGGGCTGTGTGCTGACTGCTAACTGCCATGTAGGGAGCTATGAGCTGACCACCAACCACTCCATGGGGGGGGGGGGCTGTGTGCTGGCCACTGACCACTATGTAGGGGTTGTGTGTGGGGGTGAGGGGGGGGTCTCTGTGCTGACAGCTGACTGCCATGGGGGGGGGGCTGTAGGCTGCCAAGTGGGGGGTCTGTAAGTGCCCCTGACCACTGACCATCGCAGGGGGCACACTAGAGGGGCTGTACTGACTGTGGGGGTGGGGGTGGGGAGCTATGTCCTGATGTCCTGCCCCCAACAGACACACACACTCTTCTCACTGCTGGGCCTGCACCTGGCCTACGTGACCAGCATGGGCAAGCTGCGGGGTGTGCTGGCACTCGAGGAGGTGAGTCCACAGCCCCACCCGGGGGCACAGCCCAGACCCCAGGTCAGGGTGAGGGCTCAGTGGGCAGGTGACACCAGGTCAGGGTGGGGGCCCAGTGCGCAGGGGATTCCAGGTCAGGGCAGGGGTCCAGTGTGAGGGCCCCCCCCCCACCTCTCCATTCAGCCCCTGTCCTCAGGGTCCCCTGCATACCCACCCTATCTGTCCGCTCTCCCCTTCACAGCAGACCCTCTCTTCCTCCCCACCCCACCCCCAGCTCCAGAAGGCTATTGAGGGCCACACCAAATCGGGGGTACAGCTCCGGCCACCACTTGCCAGCTTCCGGAACACAACTTCTACCCGAAAGAGTGTCGGGGGACCGCCCCCTCTTGCCGAGGGCTGGAGTCTGCCTGAGGGACCTGGGGCCCCCGACCTCCCTGAGTCACCGGCACCCTCCCCAGAGCCCCCCACCGGCCCGGCCCCTCTGCGTGATGGTGAGCTGGACGATGTGGAGCTGGACGAGCTAGAGCAGGGCCCGGAGCCCGAGGATGGGCTGGCCGGCATCCTGCAGGGGCCCAGTCTGAGGTCCACGGACGCCGAGGAGGAGGAGGAGGAGCTCATGCTCTGAGCTGGCACCACTGCTGGGAAGGCGGCACCCCCAACCCAAGCCCCTCGGGGGCAGGCCTGGGCAAGGGGCTCCCCACATTCCCTAGGCCCTTCTCCTCTCAGACAGACAGACAGATGGGCCCCAGCCCCCAGCAATGGGCTTTCTGGGTGTTCTGTCACACCCACCTCTGCCCTGGCCCTGCCCCCTGTGGCACCTGCCTGGTGTGCCCCCTGCTCTCGTCCTTGGGAGGGAGAGGCCTTGTAGTCACCAGACAGGTGCCCCATGGATGGGGAGACCCAGAATGATCTTTGCCCAGCACCCCCATCCCAAGTGCCCAGCCCACTGCCATGTAGGCAAGGGCCATAATGGGGGGGTCCCCAGCCAGCTGCACCCCACCTTTGCCCTGCTTGGTTCAGTGCCACAGGCCACTGGGGCAGGCAGCTTGGGGAGAAAGAGCTGCTGTCCACCACCCAGCAGCACTGCACCCCTCAGATGGGATCCCCCTACCCCCTACACACACACCACCAGCGGGGTCCATGGATCACCCCAGGTCACCCACACTGACTCTCGGTGCCCCTTGGAGTTCCCATGCTGCCTTTCTTCCAAGGAACCCCGTGTGGCGTGGCACCTGCAGGCTTCCTGGGAGCATGGGGACTACAGGTGGCAACACCAGGTGCTCTGCTCTGCACCTCCCTCCCTCCCATCTCCCCTAGCCCAGGCGCCCAGGTCCCCAAATGAGGCACACACAGCCATGGGGTGCCACCACATTGTTTAGTGCCAAAAACACAGCCAACATCACAGTGCCCAGGCCAGTGAAGCTGTCTGGGCGGCCCCGCCGAGGACACGTGGCCCGGGGTGTTTGTATGTATTTGTACAGAATTATCTCTGTGAGATACGTGGCCAGTCACTCTCGGGTCTGGGGGGAGGGAAGGGGATGTCAGGCAAGAAGACATGCGGAGAAAGGCTAGAAGAGGGGGTGTCCCAGACCTGGAAGACGGCACGAGGGAGGTAGAGGCAGGGTGGGGTGGGGGCTGCACCCCAAGGTTTCCCGTAGCACGGGGATGGGGGATGGAAGGTTTGGACTCTCTTTTAATAAAGTGAATTGATTAAAAGTGCAACCCTCCCCCCAAAGAAAATGGTTCAGCAAGAGCAGTGTCATTCACAAGAATATACAAACAGCCCACCAGACACGTGCCGCATGGCCTCCCCTGGAAGGAAAGCAGCCCCCCACCCCGACAGCTGTTCTGCACATGCCCCAGCCCCAAAGTAGAAGCGAACCCCATGCACTCTGCCCCATCACCCAGAGCACCCTCCATCATGCCCCCCACCCCCAGCGGGGCCAGCTCCATTGGACACAGACCCCCTGGCAGTGAGGGAGGCAGGTAGCAGAGGAGCCAGGAGACCCTCTCAGCTCACGCTCACCCGTTGCCCCAGCCGCATCCCAGAAGCGTGTGTGTGTGTGTGTGTGTGTGTGTGTGTGTGTGTGTGTGTGTAAGGGGGTGGGCAGGTCACACAGCACTGAAGCTGAAGCGTCCCACTCCAGAAACAGCAGTGGGTCCTTGGAAAGGGGACACAGCTGAGGGACAGTCCTGGCTGGGGCAGGGAAGATGGAGTCCATTGCTGCCGAGCCTGGCTCCTGCTGCACAGGTGTGCGTGGAAGTGATGGGGTGTTGGAGTTCTGGGAGGCTGGGGGGTGGGGGGCTGCGAAGGCAGGAGGAGCCGAGGGCCATGCTGATCCTGGGAACCCCCACCAGCAGCACCGAGTCCACACTCCACCCCCTCAACCCTGAGTCCCCCGGAAGTTATAAAAATGTAGAAAAGGCCAAGAGAAAAGTGTAAACAGCCCCAGAGAGTCAGGGGTGGGGACACCGTCCTCACGCTCCCCAGGCCGGAGACGTCTCTCCATGTCATCGGCAAGGTGAGTGGTGTCCCTCACCCAGGCTAGGTTCCCAGAGCAGGTAGGGGAGCAGGTGGGGAGCAGGGGCAGGCAGTCTGTTGCTTTCCAACTCTGGCCGGGACCCCACATGGCTGTCCTGTTCCTGCCGAGCCCGGGCTCCCACGGTCTTCCCTAGAGGCCGGCTGAGCCAGCCCCAGCCAGAGACAAGGCCCCATCAGAAATAAGCGAGAGCAGGCGGAAGAGGTGTTGGCAGCTGGGCGGAGTCCTGGAAGACTCAAGGGCCTGAGGTCAGGCCAAGCCCACGCAGCCACTGATGGCCTCAGCCCACAGGCCGAGGTCCCAGGCCCAGCCAAACAGAGGCCACTCATGCCTGGCTCTCGGCACCTGGTGGACCCCGCTGCGGACCACGCATTGCAGGGGAGGCGGTGGAGGGTCATGCCTGGGAAGCAGGTCCCAGAGGGCTAATTGTTGGCCTCGCCCTCCTCCTCATCGAAAGACTGCACTCCGGAGGACGTGACGTCCGACACCTTCCGGCTAAGGGCAGTGGGGACCTCAGGGTCCTCCCTCGGGGACAGCGACTCCAGGTCCCGGCACCCCGCATCCTCCTCTTCCTCTGGAGCCAACAGCCTCTTCTCCCCTTCTTCCTCCTGCTCCTCCTCCTGTGGCTCCTCCTCCTCTTCCTCAGCAGAGACCCGGGCGAGTTCCACGACCCCCCCTCCGGGAGCCCAGTCTGTGTCCACCCCCAGGAACGGGGGTGGCTCCTGGGCGGGGCAGCCCAAAGTGGGCTGCGGGGGCCCCATCTCATGCAGGCTGGGCTGTGAGTCATTGAAGGCAGGGCCGAGGTAGGAGCCCGTGGCCGGAGAGGCGATGAGGGACTGGTCACTGGCTTCCCAGGCATCCGAGGAGCCCAGGCAGTACATGCCCTGGGACACATAGGAGTGGGGCCAGCCATCCAGGGGCGCCTGGGTGAGAGCATCTGCCGAGAGAGGGGCCGGGTGGAGGACGTCACATGCTGAACAGCCCCCCGCCCCCCCCCTCCAACCGCAGGGCTTGGCAAGGGGCTTCGTGTAGGCAGGGGGACTGCCCTGTGGGGCCGTGGCTCAGAGGGGGCCCTCACCCTGGCTCTCCATCAGCTCGTGGTAGTTGTCACTGTAGTTGCAGCCCAGCGGCTCCTGGGTGGAGTTGACACTCATATCCTCACCATCCATGGACGACCAGGCCATGAGGGTGGCCTCAGAGATGGCGAACTGCTCCATGACCCCTGGGAGGGTGGACACACAGGGAGTGGCGTCCAGCCCCAGGCATGGGGTACCCTTGCGCAGGCTCCCTCGTGCTTGCCTGGAGCCTTGGTGGCCCAGCAGGCAAGCACTGGGCTGCTAACATCACGCCGGCGGTTCAAACCCAGGGAGAAAGATGGGGCTGTCTGCCACTGGCCCCCTGACCTGACTCAGAAGCCCTAGGGAGCCTTGCTACTCTGTCCTAGAGCCGGAATCACTTGGCCGGCAGTGGGTCTGAAAAGAAGCAGGGAAATGTGACCACAGACAGACAGAGAGACAAATGCATGCGATCATTATTCCAACAGCACGTGTCTCGTCTGGAATCTGAAAGTATGACAGAGATGGGTTCCAGTGATATACCCAAAACACCCATGATAAAAAGTAAATTAAGCATAATAACCAATACATTCGTATATTAAACAAACAAACATGGAGGAGAAATGGAGCTGAAACTAAGCAGTACAAATTGAATCTAAAAAGTGATGGATGAGCAAAATAAATGATTAGGCCATCTTTTCCAATCAGAAGAAATGCTGCCTACGGAAGAACCGCCACCACGAAAACGCCGTGACCAAAGAAGAAAGCCAGCCGGTGAAGTTAACTTAGCAGGAGGTTTTGCCTAACCCAACAATTAGAAGCCTCAGGAACAAATCATTCCCGCCACAGCTCCCAGCCTCTGCGGCTCCTACTACATCTTTGGGTGGACCAGACAGCCAGTCGTGGGTGGCAGGTTTGTGGGGAAAGCTGGGGGTCTCTCACTGAGATTTCCTAAGAAACAGAGGTGAGGGCTCCCCCTCAGAAGTCTGTCTTGGGGTTCTCGTCGGAACTCCAGGTAGCTCTGGGGAGGCAAGGGCTGTGGGATCCAGGTGAGGGTTTTCAAGATCAAGGAGCGTCGGGGGCAGTGGTCCACAGCTAGGCACAGTTGAAGGTTCAAGGAAGGAGGGGAAGCGGGAAGGGACAGTGAGGATGGATAGGCCTGGGGCACCCCTACTCTAGCTAGGAGTCTGGGTAGCACAGTAGTTAAAGCACTTGGCTGCTAGCCTAAAGATCAGAGATTCAAACCCACAGGAACAAGATGTGGCCGCCTGCTTCCATAATGATGTGCAGCTTTGGGCACCGGAGGGGCAGTTCCACTCTGTCCTGCAGGCCACTGTGAGTCAGAGCTGACTCAAACCAAATCCAGTGCCATGCTCTGGACTCTGATTCACAGCGTCCCTGGAGGACAGAGTGGAACTGAACCTGGATTTCCCAGGCTGTCCATATTGTCAGGAGCAGAAAGCCTCAACTTTCCCTCACAGGGTCCCTGGTGGGTTTGAACTGCTGGCCTGGCAGCGAACAGCCCAATAAGTAACCCCACAGCACCACCTTATTGACTCCACAGCAGCAGGAGATTTCAGACGGGGTCGGCCATACGTTGAAACTGGCATTACGAGCTGCCTGACCCTGGCTGAGGCCGCTCCACTGCCCACACCCGCATGGCAATGTCTCCCCCTTCTCTCTTGTCCTTCCTCGGTGCCACTAGAGACTTGGTCACCCTTGTAAGGATGCTGTGTGCCTGTCGTCCATTGCACCATGTCCACTCCTGGGCCCTAAGCCTAGCCTGGAGACCCACCAGCATCTTGGTCCCTGGTCTTCTCGTGCGGGCTGCAAGCCTTCAGCGCAGCAAGTGGGGCGGGAAGGCACGGTAGTGATGGGCAGAGAGCAGAAGGCATCTCTGTGGCCGCCTTTCCTGACTCTTGTCCCAAGAGGAAAGAGGAGAGGCAGAGTCTTCGGGGACCCAGGTCCTTGCCCATGTACCACAGGTCAGCTGAACGATCTCACCAGTAGGTGGGGGTCTCTGGGACAGGTGGGCTTCTTACCTCACTCCAGGGACCATTCTGGGAAATGCTCATGATTTGAGGGCACTGGTCAGAATAACCAGTCAAATGTTGACCCTGGGAAATGCACCCCACGATGGAGGTCAGGCTGGAAGGTCAGTACCTGCCAGGAATCTCGCCTCCTTCTCGCCGTCACTGAGGTCGGAGTAGGCATCGGTATCCCGGCGCACGGCCTCGTGGCTGTGTTGGGGCTGGATAGCCGGGGCCTTCCCCCAGCCCTGCCACTCAATCATGTGGGCCACTCGGCCCTGGCCCATGGCCGTGGGCTTCGTCACATGGTCCTTCATGCTTCGAGAGATCCCTACGGGGCCACATCATAAGAACAGTCCACTGTGCCCAGGCCAGACCCATGGTTCCCACCCTCCGCAGGGACAGCCTGGGCACGGGGAATGGACCCCGGCGGCCTACAGGGGCAGAGCAGAACTCACCTGAGAAGGATGACTTGGCCAGGGCCCCTATGCCATACGCATTTGAGTTCCGTTTGAGCTTCGGAAGGATGGACGTGGTGTCTTCCATAGAAAGCTGGAGGAGGAAGGGAAGAGGGCAGGGGGAGAAGAGGCACAGGACTTTATATGGGGGAGGGTTCCGGCCGTCCAGCCCAAGGACTGAGCCAGGGCAGGTGAGGAGAGGCCCCTTGCCTAGCCGACCTGACCACAGGGGCGAGACTGTGTTCTAGCGAGGTGACGGACGGACGGATGGATGGGTGGGGTGGAAGGGGCTGAGGGGTGGGGCTGCACTCACATTGATGGCGTCCCAGGAGAACTCAGTCCGTGTTTGCTGTGAGGATGGAGGAGGACAAGGGCATGGGTGTCCCGGGCACTTCCAGCTGCCCGTGGGACCCCACCTCCCTTGAAGGCTGTCCTCAAGGGGTGAAGGGGGCTTGGGAGCTTTCCAGAGAGCAGCAGGGGAGGGATTTTGATGGGGGCTGTCTGAGGGAAGGGAGACAGTGTTCTGTGAAAGGAGGAGTCTCTGGCAGCACTTGGGGTGCTGCTTTGGAGATGGGGGAGTTCTCTGGGAGGTGCAGTGCCATGTACCTGGCTGCCAACTGAAAGATTGTTGGTTCAAGCCCACCCAGGGGCTCTGCAGAAGCGAGTCTCGGTGAACAACTCTCATAAAGGTGGAAGCTCTGCGGGGCACATGTTCACTCCGCCACCCAGGGTCACTCTGGGGGGCACATCCACTCTGCCACCTGTGTTCACCCTGGGGCCATGTCACTCGGACACCTGGGTCAGCCTAGGGGCACATCCACTCTGCCACCTGGGGTCACTTCGATGGCACCGAATACCCACCCTAGCTGGAGGGCTCAGCCGCTGGAGGCGGAGACTGCGGACTGGGGGTGGGTGGGGGCGGCTCACCTCGGTGGACGGTCTGTGCAGGCTGCTCCCCTGCAGCGAGCTGGTGCTGTCCATGGGGATCTGGTCCACATCCTTCAGACCTTTCCAGTCCACCGCAATCACCTCGCTCCCTGCAGGAGGGAGAGTCGGCCACCTGCAGGCCTGCAGAGCCCCCAGGCCCACCCCCAGCACAGGTGCCAGCTCCCAACACAACCCCTCCTGCTCCTGAGCACCCCTGTTTCCTTTCCCCTCCCATCACAGTCTGGGTGGGAGAGCTAACAATGCAAAGTCAAGACATTGTTTTCAGGGGAATCAGCAGGGCCACCCGGAGAAGTGTCATATGGCCCTTTGTCTGTTGTTGAAAACGGGCAGTGGTCGGTGTCCACGGGGAACAATTCCCTGGTCTGTCCTGAGGACGGAGCAGGGCTGTTCCTTCCGGTATATTTCCACAGGAGGGCAGACCCTCATCCCCACCCTCATGCCCTGGGGTAGTTGCTCCTTGTGGGGGCGTGCCTCGTTCCTGGGGACCCTCCCTACGCCTTGGTGAATTTATGGCTCTGCCAGGGGCTGTGTGTGTGTGTGTGTTGTGTAGGCAGAGGCAGGGGAGGGGGCAAGGAGTGGGGGCCAGCAGGAGCTGGGGTGGAGACTGGCCCTGGGTTGAAGAGGTGGCCATGGGGTAGGGACTGTCCAGAAATAGGAGCCGTAAGAGAACCTCAGAGGGCTCAGGAGGCAGCAGAAAGAGAGGGGCCGCTGGGGGCTGCTGGTGAGCCAGTCAGCTGACTCCTGGCAGGAGGGGTGCTTCCTGTCTGGAGGGGACCCCTGGGGTGGCTGGGGCCATCTGTCCTTGGCAATGAAGTTCTAAGTTTCTGAATCAAGGGTTGAGGGGAGGTTCCCTCTGGGAAAGGGGTACACTGACTGGGGCTCTTGGGCAAGTGCAGGCCCTGGGCTTACAACCACATAGCTGGTATAAAGGAAGAGGGTCCAGGAGGGAAGGATCCCCCCCACCTAACGTGGGGCTCTCGTCCTGGGGCTGCAGGAGGGTGAGGAGAGGGGTCTGGCCAGGGCCTGGGGCTGAGGGAGGACAGACAGCACCTGAGGTGGTGGTAAGGGTGCCACATAACACTGCACCCCCAGGAAGAGCTGGGGCCGGGTAGGAGAGGAGGGGAGGGGGCGGCTGGAGTAGCTAGAGGGAGGGAGCGCTGAGTCAGAGCTGGGGGCAGGGAGGGAGGGCTGCGAGAAGGGGTGACTGCAGGCGGCAGGGTATCCATGGAAATAAACTGACTTCCAGGGAGCGCGTTTGTTTGTAATAATACGAATGATTCCCTCAGCCCGAGGTCGCCCTCAGCCTGTAGGCGGGAGAAACTGGGCGTCGGGGGGAGGGGTGGGGAGGGGGCTCGGAGAGGCAGGTTCTCCAGTACCGCGCTGAGCTGCTGCGAGGGTGGCGGTGGCGTGGGTGCAGGGGGCGGGGGTCAGGGGCAGGCAAGAGCGCGGAGCAGGTGTCTGCACCCCTCCCAAGCAAGGTAAACACCCAGGGCCGCGGACCCGGACAGGTGCCTTCAGCTCGGTCCATCGCAGGCCCCTCCTGACCCCCGCGCGACACCTCCCCTGACCGCCCCAGCCCGGGCGCAGGCCGCCCCTGTCTCCGGTCTGGGGGAAGGCGGGCTCGGGATCTGGCAGGAGGGGAGCAGGTCCGCTGGAGGTCGGAGTGGATGACGGAGTGGGAGTGGGTGGTGACACCGGGCCAGGGTCTCGACTGCTCAAGTGACCAGGGACGCTGACGGGCCGGGCCGGGGCGGCGGCCCGGCTGCGGGGAAGAGGGCAAAGGGCGCTGGCGGGGATGCGGACAGGGATGCTGCGAGGCGGGGGAGGATGCAGGCGAGGGGCCGGCCTGCGGGACCCGGCTGCCAAGCGAGCGCGCGAGCGCGC